TAATTGTCCCACAAGGGGAAATTTGGTTGTAACAGCAGCCAAAAAGACACATATACAAACAAACAGTACACAGGACACAGAACAGAAACATACACAATTTTTCTTACATATTTACATTAAGGACAATGGTTACTATATACAGAGAGTACTGTACAGTTATTATAAATATAAATAAAAATAACTACATCTGATACATTAAAGGGGTGGACACTGGGCTCACTTTGTGAGGTGATAACCAGCTTCGTGTGACCGTTTATCTTGATCTCCAATGTCAGGGTAAGTGAAACCTGTAACAGATAACTCACTTTATAATATAGGGTTCTGGCATTAAGCAGAAATTAAACAAAAATAGAAACAACAGGGGAAAAAAATACAAAACAAAAAATAGAGGCAAGAAAACCTATCCATGAACCTAAAACCATAAGAGGACTCTAAACAACAAACTAAAGGATAACAAACGTGAGGTGTGTAACAATAAACATTAATTCAGAGTCTAAAATACTAAGACTTCCGAACCATATCACTGAATACTTTTAAATTACATGATTGTCTCTAAATAATAGAAAAACTAAATATGTTTTTAGGGGCCTAATTTTCTCAATGACAAACTGCTGTATGCTCACACTGTGTTTTTACATTTCTAAATGGCACTCACATGCTACATCAACAAAACTGAATCTTCATCAGAGATTGTAAACAAAGTCCAGAGTCTGAATCCTGGGTGAACAGGTTCAGAGAATTTGGTTCTGAAAGTGTACATGTGTGTCAGTTTGTCACATGAGACGACATAGTAGGACAGAGTTCCTGCATGCCAGTCCAGAAACACTCCAAGTTTGGGACAGCCCTTAGGGAGTTTGAATATTTTTAAGCCATTATGTACTACAAAGTACCAAAGGCCTAGAAGATACCTGCAACTACAACTCCAGGATTTTTCATTATACCCAAGCTTGCACAAGTCACTGTTTCCTTTCCTTTCAAGTTGGCTGTAGCAAACGCCTACAGAAACAACAGCAAGCCAGGAAGCACTCAATTGTACCTCCCAGTAATGGCGCCCATTCAGCTTCTCTCTGCACAAAACCTGAGGTAACTTACTGAATCTCTCAGGAAGGTCAGGATATAACTGTGTCTTTCCTCTTTTCACCTTCTTCTTTCCTTCAGACAGAACGAGTTCACAGTGTGCTGTGTTTGGATCCAGGGTGAGGTCACAGGCATCTGATGGAGAGAACGAGAACTGATCAAATTCATTATTGATGACGATGTCAGTGACTCCTCCTTAATCTCTGTCCTCAAACCTCAGTGATAGGTTTATCTAGGCACAAACCTATTGCTGGAACAACCAAGACAATCCACTACACTGGCAAAAGCAACACACACAACACCAGAGCTCCTTGTGTGATCTTGTGCACGAGGGAGACTACCGAGACCAAGCCTGTTCCAACCGCTTGAACCCCAGTCACTCTCGGTCAGCCCTGCTCTTTCGGTAGCACTGCTCTTTATTGTGATTACATGAATATATACAGGTTCATTAACATATGACGTCTTAAACAGGCATACATGAGGACAAAGAGTACCAGTCTGTGTGTACGTGTAGCTATGTGTGTGTGTGTGTCAAAGGGTGACCCTGTGAAGGCTCCTCAAACCTGTTGGCGCTGGGGAGTGTAGTAAGGATGTTGGGGGAAACAGGAACTCCAGAGGACCAGTCTTTTGTCTCTTCGAGGACTCTGGGAAGTAGCAGGGGAGTGTGAACCTTAAGGTGTGAAACAGCTGTGTACTGCCTTTTGTTCCTGAAGAAGGTATTTAACTGAGAGCCATGCTAGGCTCAGAGAGACTCTGCTGACCGTCTGTCCCGCGGTCATGCAGGGACTTCATCAAGCTTGGTTGTCTGTTCTTTGTGTGCGTTGATTAAAGAATGTTAGCTACCGCTCACCGCTCGTCTGCAGGCTTTATTTAAGTGGAAAACTTCCACAACAGGAGTCCTGCAGTTTATCTAAACACAAGGCTCTTATACTTAAACAGATACAGATGTGTTTACTAGGGGTGCAACAATACTCGTATCGATATTGAACTGTTGATACAGTGCTTTTGGTTCGGTACGCATATGTATCGAACAATACATCATTTGTAATTTATTTTATCAACTTTTCTTCTGACGATGCTGTCTGTGTTGAGTGCTCAGTGGATCTGCG